TAGTATAGATCCATCTTTAACGTGGTAGTATAGATCCATCTTTAACGAGGTAGTATAGATCTATCTTTAACGTGGTAGTATTAGATCTATCTTTAACGAGGTAGTATAGATCTATCTTTAACGAGGTAGTATAGATCTATCTTTAATGTGGTAGTATAGATCTATCTTTAATGTGGTAGTATTAGATCGACTGTAATCTAGTTTTCTGATTGAGTCCTTGTTGACATTAACAAATGAAACATACAATTTCATATGAAACATCCAAAACCTTGTATGCCTACATGTGATTTGTTTTTTCTTTAACCTCTTGTGCTTTTAAATAAAATACAAAATTATGATTTATATTTGTAGTTTTTTTTTTAAGTACCTAATTTCAAATATGATGTCAAATGTATGTTTCCATCTTGATGAACAAATGTGGGACAACAATCATCCACAACCTTAGTTTTCTATAAACATATGAGAATGTTATGAATAACAATAAATACATATATGTGAATTCATCAAATGTGAAATGTTTTACACAGGTATGGAAATCTGAAAATACTAGAATCAGCCTATAAACTAAAGCCCATATGTACTGTGTGTTGTGATAATATTGCTACAGGCCTCAAATGACTTCTTTGACACATCAAATCACTGTTTTGCACCCAGTAGTTTTGCCTTATTTATGCTAGTGGGAACATGTAGAGTTTGAACAGAGGTGGGCATAGAATTGAACCCTGGAGAACTCCACATCATTTTTGTTGCCTCAAATATGTAGTCATTGACACAAAAATCAATCCCTCATTTAACTAGGATTTGAACCAAATCCAACCAAATGTCACGGTCACAGCCCTGTTATTCAATCATGGCCCTTTAAACCCAAAGAGATGCTAGAACTGAGAGTGGAAGTAGGCCTGGAAGGAAGTCCTAGCTCCAGTCAACCCCCTGGCAACCAAAGATGCAAGAGGAAATATAGTATGATGATCAGAGAAAGGGCAGAGGGGACAACAGTTACACAAATACAAGCTGAGAAACCCACGACACCCAAACCAGCAAGCACAGAGGCGGACAGCCTGTTGAAAGTCAAGACGGAAAAGGAAATCAAACGAGCGCTTGACTTTTGAGGCCTGAACCTCAAAGAGAAGATATTTCTATAACAGACCTTTAATGAAGTAAAACCATCTTCATCCAGCTAGACCTGCTACTGGCTTTGTAGTCTAGCTGTATGTCGTAGCAACCGTCCGTCCCACAATTATGAAAAAACACTTTGAATACTGCAACCCATTCATTATGGAAGAGACAAAAACACAGACATGTAGATTTGAAAAGGAAGAGACCAGGACTGATGGCAGCAAGCAGAGCGGCGGGGAGGGATGAAGCCTGATTGTAGTGAGACACCCCTCCCTTGAGAATGGCTGGGACATACCGCACAGTCAGATACTGGGCTGGCATCTGGAAACGGCTTGCAACGAGGTTTGGTGAGGAGGCTGCCCTGATGGAGAGATGACATGAGGTGGGACTAGGCAGACACACACACAGATGGGATGAAAGGAAGACTGAGGAGATACTACAGTAAGAACATGGTTTCTCAAACCTTTTCCATGCTGCAGAAAGGCAATGAGACACACATTACATAGGTACACATTAGAGCTGTGGACCTCCAGCTCATAAGACCGGTGTCCAGAGGTCATTAGAAGATGATCATGAAATCTGTTGTCCAGTGGACCATTTTACCAAGCTATCCGACTAGTCAGGAAGTCCACTACTGAAACCACTAGGCAGCACAAGTTACTGTGTAAAACACCACTGATTGTATATACAGTATTTACATACATTCATCAAGTTATAGTGCAATGGCAATCTCCTATGCATAACATCACCTTATGTACCGGTGCATTGTCACAGTAGGAGCCCAGCTGTTCTATACTCTATACTTGTGCTGCTGTGTTCTTCCCCTCGTCACAGTAGGAACAGCACTGGTGTTTACAATAACATCCACAACAGCTTCTGTTCTATTCACATGTCCCAGTAAACCATGACAGCGGGACCCTGAAACTCAATTAAGACACCAACAATTTGATCATGCACGCCTGTTCTTTACACACACACACACACACACCCCCCCCCCCCCGGAGGAAACAAATGCCATGAGATCTTTGAAAACATCAGTCTGTGCCTTTGTCACATCAAAGTGCACTGGTTCCAGAATGTGAAAAGGGAGGAGTCACACGTGGGAGAGAATGGAGCCGGCCTGTGACGCTCCCCTAACAGAAGCAGGGCTTCAGCAGGAGATGAAGCTGAGGGTCAGGCTTACATCTGAAGAGCGTGAAGTCTTTCACAAATGCTAAATCTCACCTTTGATCATGTGTAGACCACACAGTAGAGCCATCTCTGAACTCAAATGATGTATTTAAAGTTACAGGAAACTAGATTTAGAGTCAGGTTTCTTCTACATCTATATACGGGCAAAGGGTTTTGAAGTTACAAAAATATTTTAAAAAACTGCTCATCTATCCAGAATATTTTGCTAACGGGACATTATGTTAAAAGGCCCTAAATTCAATATTCAGATCAAACAACTATTGTCACTGTAAAGATATGATGAGTCATGGCTGCCTAAGCAGTGAATGAAGACACTCTCCCATGGTGGGTATTATATAGCACCTCTAGAAACATATCTGTCCATCAAGTTCTGTCTCATAACAGTCTTGAAACCGTTGGACTCCAGCAGAGGAGGGTTAAACTAAATTGGACGGTGCAGTTCAGCTGATAAGCTACAACATTCCCTCAAAGCTTAGACAAAGTGCTACTGGCTAACGGCAACTGTCAGTGGAAAGTTTCCCAAAGTTTAACTTGAAGTGAAGGATTTGCGCGGCTTTACTTCAACCCTGCAACCAAATTCCAGGAATGAATTGACTTGGCTGCAGATTTTGGTATTTAAAATACTGATGTGAGCAAATATATATGTTTCGCTGTAATAGTTCAAACTAATTAGCCTGTTGAATGTCCCTCAGTATTCCTCCCTGTGAAGAAACACTGCCAAAGTGCTTTAACACCCAGCATCCCAAAGCAGGAAGCAAATAGTATTTAAGCAAAGAAACAACATGAAAGCAAATTAATAGCAATTCATGCCATCTTGTAAGAGCTGATAGAAAGACCACAGAATAACCCTTAAGACCTACTCAGTCACACATGCACAGCGCTGAGCTTCAGTGTCTTAGACATACTTCACTTCTCAGGCAGCTCTGCATGTTTGTCTGCTGGACAAAGAAACTTCTTTGTTTCTTGCAGTAATTCATCTGTGGGAATGCACGGCGTGACAGCGTACGGATTGGAGAACGCAATGCAGTCTAAAAAGTGCCATCGTGTGAGTAACACCCTATGAGTGGAAGTACTGAAGCAAAGCTATTTTCTCTCCAGATGAAGAATCGCTCTCGGGGAGCATCAGGATCTCATCTTCACAGGCGGGCTACCTTTTGAAAGGTTCTGAACCAAAAACATAAGAGATATATCCAGTGTCAACAACGGATATAAGCCCAGGTCCAGAGAGAAATGCTTGTTAAATATGGTACATTTGGAGGTCAAAGAAATACAGAAATATATAAAGATGTGCTGCCAAATTAACACATTTTGAATTTATCTCACAATTTATGGACCTGGATTTATTGTCATTCTACTTAACAGAAACATTGTTCAAATAACGGTAGCATTAGTAACAGCTGTTGGTGCAGTAAAGCAATGTTCCTTCATGCCGTTTGTCAGAAGAGGCCGATGGGGATGCTGCCAGGATGCAAACAGCTCGGCTGCCATTTCCAGACTCTACTCCCTTTAAGAACGTCGCATCACTCTTTCATCTGTTCACATGTCCATAAACGACATATGTTTATGTTCTCTTTTAGTGGCCGCTGACCGTCGCTCTCACCAGTTAAAATGACAAACGTCATTGGTGGTCGGTCAGCTGTCGCTAATTAATATGACTGTGAGTAACTCAGTGGCAGACCACAATGAAGCTCGGCTGTTATCTGCTCTGTTTGCTCTCTGCCAAATACGATTGAATTTATAAGATTTGGTCATATCCTGGGTGATTAAACTAGGGCCCCAAATGTGGTGAAAATAGTCCCCAACAAATACATTATTGGTTACAGAGTCACAGACAGGGAAGAGAGGGAGTATCGAGACAGACTAGCCCATTGTTGGTTTCAGTCTTTTCATGGCATTTGTTGACAATAACAATAAATGCAGCTTAATCCTCTGATAACTGTAGGTTCTATGAGCAAAAGCCTCCACTATTGATGACCAGAGAAATCAGAGAGCACCAGCTGCACAAACTTCATCAACACATAAGCCCAGAAATGGGACATCACACAGACCATTAACCAAACTTTTCCCCAGACCTGTAATCTCAGCAAAGACCATCTGGCACCAAAGATGTAGAACGACAGAAAAACCCAGAGCAATGTTATCACAGCAGCAAAACACAACACGACTACAGCAAAGAGCACATAGCAGCAAACGCCCTCTCAAGCATCGCTGCACCATGGACCACCAAGTAAAAACACAAGACTAAACATCTATTTGTATTTCTATTTGTTTTTCAGTTGCCCACTCTCTCTGACCCCCAGGACCCTCGGCCAGTTGGACCTTTCTTAAGAATCCCTGGAACCCGATTCAGGGCCCAGAAACTTCCCCCACAGGTCCCTGGACCCTGCTGTAAAACCACTGCTACACAAGGAGATCAGTTGACCTGCGGTCCTCTTTCATGCTTTCAATCCTACAAAACCCCACGGAGAGAAGAGCCACAGCTCAGAGTGCAGCTTTCTGTCAGTCATTTACCTGGGAGTTGACTGTCTGGCCCATGGGGATCCGGGAACACTCCAGTGCATACTGCTTCACACAGAAGTAACACCCCTGGAGGAAGGAGAAGGCATATGGAGAACACGTGATTATTTCATGAAAAACACATCCATGGGGAGAATGGCACTCTGAAGTTTACTTTACTGTTCATCGGCATAGCTGCAAAGAGACAGGATGATGGTTTCAGACCTTTCAAATGGCCTCCAATGGAAACTCAAGACTAATTGAGCCACACAAGCACAACATTAAGTCCCAGTGGGTTCATCTCCCACTGAGCCTACTGTGGCTATTTAAAGCTGTAACAAAGAACAGAACAAAAACCCAGACACCAGGAAACTAATTGTGATGGAAATTATATGTCTGGAAAAGCAGACAATGCACACGGGGGTCAAACTCACTGTACTTTGACAACATGGAAATGCAATCACACGTTAGTCCTAGTCCCGCTAATATCTGCAGGTCACAGTCAACCCTTTGCTTTGTTTCACTAGTCTTGTCTCAGTTCCAGAGGAAACAGTTGTATTATGTCTTCTATGTCTTCGCAGGAGCTTTGTCAATTCTGGGAAAATTGAATTAGTGATGATCTCACCTTGGGCTGGGAAACTATAAACTGTTGAAAGAAGGTCTGCGTAATAGACTGAGGGTAAGGAGCTTGAAAGGATGGAATGCCATTAAATGTTATCAAAATGTCATGGTCCCCAGATGATGAATCCTAATACATTTGGGGATCCGCTGACTTTTCTCATCTAGCACCATTATCAGGTCAATATTGATAGCATGCTAACACGCTAAACTAAGGTAGTGAACATGGTGAACATTACACCTGCCAATCATCAACATGTTTTCATGCTTGTGAGTCTTTTAGCCTGCTGACGTTAGCATTTAGCTCGAAGCACCACTGTGCCTAAGAACTGTCTTGAAGTGATATTAGGCTGCATTCAAAACTAGATATATATATATCGCTGTGAAAAATGGATTGTGGGTCGGAACAGGCAAAGAAGCACGCTGGCTTACACACTGCAAAATGCAACCGGACGTAAAAGGAGATTGTGGTATTTTGCCGCATTTGACAAACTATGTTTTGGGACCAACTAAATCTTCTTCGAGCATACACACACAAGAATAAGGTCATATAGGTACAACAAAGCCACTGGTTTACACTAACTTTAGTGTTTGAATATCAACCAAAAGAGACTTGAAATCCATCCAACTTTGTCAGTTACTGTAACATGATGCAAACCATATTTTAAACTCCTGACTATTTTAAGAAGATGTATGAAGTCTGTAAAAAGTTGATTTTCATACCACAATGTCACAAACTGACATCAACAATCGTCTGGGGGAAGTCATTGTTAAGATCTGTGGTATGCTCCACAAAATTGTTGGCAATATCATGAAAAAACACACATGAACCATCCCAAATGTGCTAAAAAGGCACCAACACATGTACCTTTGTGATGTTGGCTGATTCTGAGTGCCCTTCGTCATCCTAATCTCACCTGAAAAGCCAGTTCCATCAACACGATGCCCCCTGGCAGCGCCCTCTGGAGGTGATACGCGGTGGTGCCCGATGCTGCAATCTGCAAAGGTAATTTACAGAAGAGTCATACAATCAGTTTGTCTAATAAAGGTGTTTGAGCGTTAAAGAGAGTAATAAAGCCGCTGAACCAATTTTGTGAATCGGGACTGGTACTGTTAAAAGAATACATTTACATTTATTAAACAGTTAGAACAGAAACTAAACATAGCTTCTAGCTGCAATGTTTACAACAGCAAAGCCAAAGTCTGTCTATTGTTTTAAAAAGATGTTATATTGTAGATGTCATGAGGGGACTTTTAACATTATTTCTTACTTGTGCCTGTGCACCTGTGACTACAACCTTGGGAGGACGTTTATTGACCTAACCCCAACAATGGAGGGCACCGGAACAGGAAACCCTATTTGAAGGGGAACCAGACTTTAACACAACACCGGCAGTGGATGGAGACTGAGCCAAGCAGTGGAAAATATCACTTATGCAAATGATCATAAAATGATGTAAATGTACGTATTTTCTGCTCTTCGTCAAGTACCTGATTAAATATCTTCATTATTACAAGTTCAGAACAGGGTTTCTGTGGAGGGCCAGTCCATATTTGTGAGTTATTGAAGTAGTGTGCACCCAAGTACAAGGAAACTCTAATCCGAGCCTCCTCTCACTGACGGTAGCAGCAATGAAAAGGTTACCACTACCTGACATGCTTCCTGAACGCCCAGCAGCTAGTTGAGTGCCGCACTGCACGGCCTTTTTTCATTGCTGCGACACCAGACACATTCTATCACCATCGTCTTCGGAGGCATGAATGCAGTTTAAATGTTTACAACAGCAGAGCCTTTTTGTAAAGGTCAGAGGTCAGACGAGGATCAAGATCTGAATTCAGTAACAGCTCAAACACCTTTAGTGAACAGCAATGTACCAGTTTCCAACGCTACAACAGCCTAAACGGTCTTGATCTCTGCTTTAGATAGTGTATGTAGTAAGTAACCGTGTTTAACTTAAGCACTACTTCTATTACTAATTATTCTAGCTTCTAAAACATATATTCAGAAACTACAAATGAGATATAGCTACAAGGAACAAATGGAAGAACTGTTTTTGGATGCATGGACTCACTTTTAATGAGACACTCCAAATGTAGAGGGGCCACTGTTACAATAGCAGCCTGGCTCGATCCCGTGTGTGTGTGTGTGTGTGTGTGTGTTTGGAGAACAAGATTAGTGCATCTCTGAGGTTAACACTAACCTTAGGGCTGTCCTCGCTCTTCTGCTTTACATAAGAAAAAGACATCCTCCCTTCCGATGACATGGAGCTCAGCATGGCAGCACGAGCCCTGGCGATGCTGTAAGAGATGGGGGGCGAGGAGGACAGGGGTCAGATAGGGTCTGGTTAAACCAGAGAGGTCTGGACCCGAGGGACAACGGACCGCCAGCAGCGCGTAGCCGAGCCGTGAGACATAATTCAGAGAGAGTCCCACGGTCTGAGCCTAGAAAGTGACAGGCATCTGCCCCGCATCAGCCACGGGGTGGCAGCGCTGCGAGGTCAGAGATCAGACCAGGATCAAAACACATGTGACGACTAACGGATGAGTGCTGCTCTCAGTGGAGGAAGAGAGGACACTAAGAGGGGCAGAAATGGAGCAATGCATTTTTGAAAGTTTTGCACGAAAAAATGAGCAGACACACTTTGTGATGGTGCGTAACACAAAGCACCCATTGACTAATGCAACGGTCAGCCAGTTCATCCATTTCAAACAGCAAACAGAAAGCTCCTAACGTTGTTTAAAAATGGTGTCCTACTTGAAAATGTGTTAAATACAATCTACTGATTTGATGCGTGTCTTCTTGAGGATAGCTTCACATACATTTAAGACTGATTTGATCAAAGGGGAAGCCTCAAATATCAGGACAAATGTAGAACAAACGATATTGGTAAAGAGAAGCAATGGTCACAAGCAGACATTCAACAACAAAGGCAAGTTTTCTCTTTCTTGTTTTTGCAGAGACAGACCTGCGAGCTGGAGACTGAGGTCGGACCTGCACGAGAATGAAGCCCATGCTCTGCAGGTACTGGACGTACTGCTGGAGGAAGGTGCTAGAAATCTCCAGCAGCCAAGGCTCTTCTTTCAGACGGCTGGGCAGCATGTCGGCCGAGTCAGTGCTGTAGCTTCGGTCTCGACCGGACGCCGTGGAGTCGCTGGAGCGATGGCGTTTCTGGCACACAGAACAGCGGACATCACGTAAACACACAACAACTCCTTCATTTCTGTGCCATCCTGTAGATTAAAGTTATTTGTATGAACTTTTACCTGGTTATAAAACTCAATGCAATACACATATGCATCTGTATGACCTCCATCAGTAAACAAGACCATCGCCGAGAAGATTGGCTATTTCCATATAGTTAAATCTTAATGCTTGTTATTGGTGCCACCAGGGTCCGGTTCTCTCAGGTTCACCAGAAACTGCTTCAGCAGCAGCTCCTCCTCCTGCAGCTAGGAGCAGAGCTTCCCTGGGCCCGCTGAAGGGAAGGGAGGTGTGGAGAGAACCAGAACCAGAACTGTGCTGAGCAGACTGTCAGACCCTGCTGCAGTAAAATGAGAGGTTTTGAAAAGGGACGCTGGTGCTCTTAAACACTACCGCTTTTGCCCACAAAATGAAAGTCTGTGGTAATGGCTTGAAGCACACAAAACTTACTTTAAACTATGGCTAACAGACACTAGGTTATAATAGCTTGATGATGTCCTCCCTAGTATTCATGAATCCATTGTATCCCCAAAGGCCTCTCAGAGTAAGTTGGTCAAGGATGAGCTAAGACTAAGGCCATGTCCACACAATTCCATTTTTATAACGCATACGTTTTGCCAAGTTTACACTGAACGTCCACACTACGCCCGAGTTTTAGTGCACCGAAAACAAATGTGTTTAAAAATACTCCCGAGAATGGATAAGTTTGAAAGCTCCGGGGTTAAGTCCTAGTGTGGACGTGCGTAAACGTATCCGTTTTAAAACGGTGATGTAGACGCCCGCATTCACTACTTGATTGAGTCTTTACAGTGCTGTTGGGACCATGTTCCTTCCTTTCACCAAAACACCTGACCTGGGGTCTGCAAGAAACCTCATGCCGGATGACCACACCCCCCAGCTCCAGCAGAAACCTGATGCTGGTCCCTCATTGGCCAAGAAAGGGCCCCCCACTGGTTGTGCCACCTGGTTTATAAGCCTGAGCACAGCTAGAATTCTTCCTCTTCCGTCCAGACACCGCTGGTGTAGGGAGATCCACAAGGCTCTCTTCACTCCGGACACGCGCTGGTGTCAGGAGGTCCACAAGGCCTCTTCACTCCGGAATCGTCCAGGGGACAAGAAGATCCACGAGGAGCCGCGGCCTCATCAAATCCTATCAGGTCACATGTAACATTCGCTGGTCGAACAGTGGTAGTGCGAGAACAGATAACTCCTATGCCCCGTTCTCCCACCCTTTTTGTGTACACACCGCCGGCAGAAGGTAACGATCTTTCCTTGCCGAAGATTTCCGGGAAGGACGACCCAAACCTCGTCCCTCAGCCGAAGTTAAAAAGCCTCTCTCTGCAGCGAGGAGGCCGAGTCTGCGCCAGCCAGCCCCGAGGCCGCGCCACCGAGAGCCAGCGGCTACTCGAGGACCGAGTGATCCCCACCACAGGAAACGTACCCTACCGAACGAAGCTTCTACCAGTAAGAGTTACTGGTATCTGGGCCTAGCTTAGCTTAGCTTAGCATTAGCTTAATTTAGCCTATTCGTTATGTCGTTGTTATTCCTGCATCTTATTATGTTAAGTTACTGTCGTGTTATAACGGGTTATTGCGCCATCATCGCGGACCACGGAGTCCCGTTATATTGTGTATTTCCTGCTGTAACTGTTTGCATTAGATCCGTCGCTGCTAGTGGATGTGGAGGTTGTGATTTTATCACTTCAAAGACCAAAACCACGGTGGCGGAGCCTCGTCTCGCCGACCGAGTTTCGGGGTGATAAGAGGGCAATACTCGCATCTCACCGCAGTGATAAAGATCTGTTTTGTTTGGGGATTATTTTATTTTGTTTGGTTTTATTATCTCTTCTTTAAATCGGCTCTGTGAGTGAGATTGAGAACCGCAACTATCACCGTACAAGCGTACTATCACCGTCTCTCTCTCTCTCTCTCTCCCTACTAACCCGCACACACATAGTTAGATTCACTGATTTTGGGTGAACCTCTCAGACACGTGGTCGCGTAATCTATTGTCCCAACCCACATTGTGTGCCGTCCCACGTGGTTACACGTAGCCACCTCTTAGCTATCTTGTCGCGGGTCCCTAGACTCCGCCATCTTTGCTTGTAGGCTCACACGCCCCTTTTTAGGTTACATACCATCACTGTTTGAGTAAGCCCCCCCCCCCCCCCCCCCCCCCCCCCCC